AAAATGTTTTATCCGTTGCAAGATGCGTCTTGTGTGTATTAAATCTTGCAAGGGTGCAGTTTTGAAACTTTTAAAGTATGAACAATTTGCAATCACACTTGGTCCAAATAAAAATGTATCCAGCAGCACATTCAAAATTGTCACTATACTTTAGAGTTTGAAGAACGAGTGTTACTGGCCCGAAAGAAATCGCAACCAACAACTGCATTAAATACCAATTCGCTTGTTCGTCACCCGTTTCTGAGACCGTCGTTTGTTTGTTTTTTGTCGGGCAGAACAACAAGCAGGGTCAATAAAAGTCCCTGCTCTCTCAGCCTGATGTGCAATGCTGATGAACAGCTTGTTCTCACTCCGATCCGCAACAGGTGCGGGACCCCCAGCCGTAAAAATACCGTCTATATTTAGCGGGGCGCGGGCGGCGCGGCGGCCGGTCAGCGGCGCAACACAACGACTTGTCTCATTGACTGCGCCAACAGCTCTTCTGGAAGAGATTTGTTTTTATTTAGTTTTTTTTTTCCCTACGTATGTCTGGCGTGGTGGAGAGGGATACGGGGGGCTATATGTGCTGGTTATTGCACTTGTCCCCGCCTCGCTATATTGTTGTTATTTGCGTGCATCTCTCGACGGCGTGCCTTGTTTTTGCCATCCCCCCGCCCTGCCCGCATGCCGGGCGCTTGGCGGGCTGGGCCGAGCCGGGCCGAGCCGGGCCGGGCGGGGCACATGTGCTGCCGACACGAGGCGGTGGTGGGTGGAATGATGTTGTCTTGGCATCGCTCTCTGTTTTTGTTTTAGTTTGTCATCCTAGGCGTGGCGTGGCGTGGCGTGGCGGGGTGCGGTCGGGGCGCGGAGGGGTTGTCGGACGGGCGCGCCCTGCCTTGCATCCCGACGAGATGATGACGGCGACGGCGCGCGGTGTGGCTCTGGCTGGCTGTTGGCTTTGTCGCGGCACTTTTTGTCGGTTTTATCGGTTCCGCCTGCGCTGCGGCCTGCTGCCTGCGGCCCGCGGGGCGGCGTGCGCGCGGTGGCCAAACGGTCCCGCGAGGCCTTGGGCTGGGCGCCGGCGGCTGCGGCGCTAAGAGGAGAGTGAACCCCAGTGAACCCGCGAGGTAAGAGGCGCGGCAGCGCCGAGTTATATGTCCCAGGCACCTTGCCACGCCCGCCGGGGCCTGGCCGGGCCAACCGCCGTGGCGTCGTTTCAAGGGCTCGATAGCCGCCGCCTCTAGCTCATTCCGGGATGTGTTATTCGAAAGAGGGGGCACCTCAGGTCAGAAGCCGAGCGGCGCACCGGCGCTCTACACTACTCATTTACCGCCCTTCGCGCCGACGTCCCAACCGTATTGATCTCGCATGCACCCAGCAGAGATCGTGTCGACCGCCTTCTCCTCCTCCCGCGGGACCCCACGCCCGCCTCCTGTGCAGCAGGACGTTTCCGGGCTGCCGGGAGGAGGAGGTGGAGGAGGAGGAGGTGGGAGGAGGAGAAGGTTCGGACGCGGAACGGAGAGCGCCAGCTATTGATTATTGTTGTGCCGATCGAGAAGTTACGTGCCGCCCGGAAGCGGCCCTCCCCTCCCTTCCCCGCTGCTCTCGACAACACATCAGGGGAGGGGAGGAGGGCAGGCTGCGCGGACAATAGAGGCTGCTGCCTGGACCGGAGCCGGGACTCTGACTCTGCATCTGGAGAAGCTGTGTTTGGCCGTTCGTCAGAGCAGAGAGTCACAACACAACGCGTTTGTTGTATCCCGGTCCTGGACTCTGTAATTTCGTAATGGGGGTCTACCGGGGACGACGGCCTCCTCGGCGGCGCGGCCCAATAACCCGTCGTGGCCGCGGCGGTGGCCGGCGGTGACGCACTCGCTGGCGGGGCGGGGCGGGGCGCGCTCCGATTTACTTTTGGGCCGAGGCCTGTGGAGGTGGTGGCCTTGTCTATCACGGCCACCCCCGCCGCTGCTGCCACCGTCGCCGGCCGCGCAGGGGTGGCGCGACTGCCAAGTCCGAGGCCAAAGTCGCGCCCCGCCGCCCCGCCCCGCCCCGCCGCGGGCCACGCCGCCGTGTGGCGTGGCGCGGCACGGCGCAGCGCCGCTGACTTTGAACTTGACAGACGGACCGGCCGTCCCGCTACGCTACGTGTGCGACCGGCGGAGAGCGAGTGAAACCTGCTGCAGCAGCTGGCCCCGGGCCGAGCGGCGGCAGGTGGTGGTGGCGGCGGAGGCTGTCTTCTTCATGTCACCGGGCGCGGTGACGAGGAGGGCAGGGCCGCCGCCGCCAGCGTCTTCTGGTCATTTTCTGCAGATTGACTGCAGATCGGTGCGCTGCGTAGCACGTGTAGCCCGTCGCGTCGTGGCCTTGCGCGGGACACGGTGAGGGAAGAGGGGAGGGGGGGGGGGGAACTAGGCTACAATCGGCTCGCGGGGAGGGGAGGGGGCGCAGGTGAATGGACCAGCGCCGCGTCACGTAGTGAAGTGCGCACGGCGCCGCGCTTCTTGTGCGGGAGGAGGGCGCGGGTGGAGGGGGGGGGGCGGCCAAGCAGCGTCGCACCTTTCCATTCTGATACAAACGGAAGAGACTGGAGCTTGCTGTGGCGGGGCAGGGCGGCAGGGCGGTACTGCGCAATGTGAACCTGGGCCCAATTCGATCAAGTCTGACCGCGGCCGGTCATGGCGGGGGGCCTGGCGTGCTCGGGCTGCGGCCGCTCCCGCTCCCGCTGTGCCGTGGCGGCCGCTCCCAGCCACGGTGGTAGAGACCCGCGCAGGTAATCGACGCTACGCTCTGTTTCCTTGTCGCCTATTTTTATTTGAAACCGGTTGCCTGCTTAGCAGCGAGCGACTTTACGGAGCAGGCGTATGGGCAACCGCGCTAGGATGCGACACGGCGCCAGGGCGGAATCTGGGCGACTTTATTCCGAATCTCATAATCCGAATCTGCTCAATCTAAATCTGCTCGATGTCAATATATGCTCAACCTCAATGTGTTCCGCTGAACCTCACTCTTGCAGGAACTCTCTACTCTGTTGGAAAAGACCATATTCGCCAATGTGTCCGTCCGTACTCGTGCACGCGCGGCAGACGACGGCGGCCAATCGCAGCGTTTGATCCGTCCGGCCCGGCGCGAGTGCAGCTCGAGGGTTTCTTTGACCTTTCCCCTCCCCCCTCCGCCTCCGTGTCTCTGGCTGTCGAGGCGTATGCGAGGGGGCCACCACTTCAATTTAGGGTGTACACAGGATTACGTGATTACATGGATTACATGTGAATTTTAAGGGATTACACATGAATATTGTTGAAATTATGGCTCTAAATCTAAAACCATTAAATTTGGACAATAAGGTAAAATTTAGTGATAATGGTTTAAAATTTGGTCAAGTATTGCACGGAATACATGAGGATTACATAGGGATTACACCCTCACCTGTACACAGGATTACGCGAGTGGTGGCCCCCTCGGGCGTATGCGGAGCGTTTTCGCGCTGATCTGAGCTGCCGCGAGGAACCGTGCACATGTTTGACCCCCCGGCCGGTGTGGCTTCACCACGCGCGCTCGCGGAGATGGCGATCTTGGTCGCGACGACAGACGACGCGAATATAAGCGTCTGCCATCGCTACGACGCACAAAGCGTCTCGCCCATTCATCCGACTTGCTCCTCCTCGTGTGGCGATCGCGAGCATCACGCATGCGCCGCCGTCAAGTCGTGCAGGCGGAGCTCATGCGAGACATGGCGCAAAAAAAAACAAAAATATTGCAATAAAAAAGATCGTAAACAGCCGAGTAGAGCGTCAATAGCCCCCCGTCTGCAACGGCGGCGCAGGGGGGAAGCTCGGCTCAACAAACTTGCAAAGTGCGCCCTCCTTGTGCGAGTGCAAGAGAGAGAGAGAGAATACTTGGGGGGGGGCATATTATGTCTGACTGCGATTACGACGATTTACTCATTTTAGAGAGGAGAGACGACTCTGGTTAGAAGCCATGCGCTAACGAGGTGCGCCCCTTGTGAGCTGCGCTGGTGAGGGTGGCCGGGGGGGGGGGGGCAGGAGGCAGGGGCATCACCTCGTGGCGTCGCCAGGACGACCGCTCCGTGCTGTTTACTCCGGGGTGGGGGCGGGTCAGAGGCGGGCTCCGCCGTGCCTGCCCCCCGGGCCAGGGCGGTCGCAGGTCCCGCAGGGCCCGTGGGCCCCCTTGCGGCGCGGGACGCGACTCGCATGGTGGCCAGTGGCTCCGCGACACCCGGCACGGACAGGGACTCGGCGCGGTCTCCAAGTGAGTGACACTTGGTCCTGGTGGAGTGACACCTCCTCGGCGCTGCCGACCCCGACGGACTGTGTAGTGAGGCCTCGCCTCTGCACTTATGAGAGAATCTTCTCGAGCGTTTTAGTTTATCGTCACAAAAATAAAAGTGGAACTGTTTCCGTCGGGATGGGAATGGGAACTGTGAAAGTCAGTGAACTTGAAACCCAGAGTTGTAGTTGAGGATCGCGTTTGTTCTGGTATCGTCCGTTGGTGATCTGATCTGATAGTGTGTGGATGTGGACGGCTGTCTTGTCCCCGGCCGGCGGCGCTGACGGAGCACCGCCTGATGGGGCCGGGTCGCTCGGGCGGGGCCAGGGCGGGGCCGCCACTGCACTCTTACTCTACTGTGTTTTTTCTCTGTTTTCATTTAAAGATGAGAAATGGAAGGGGATCGTCACGGCGCAGCCTCCACGGTGATGTACGTCGAGCTGCCGCAAGCCAGTGCTGTAGTAGTGTAGTCATATGGTTCAGCTCACTGCTCATAGCAACTCCACTCCTCGCGGAGCTCACTGATGGGGGGTATGGTGGTATGGGCGCATCGCTTTGCACCGTAGCATCTCCACGGTCTCCTAGGTGATGTGAGGCCACTGCACTGCGCCGTAGCTCACGCAGCAGCTCGGCTCCAAGGGCCAAGGAGCTTGCGCGCGCGCGCGCGCACCTCCCTTGCCATCTTTATTTCGAGTCCTTTTGTCATGGAAAAGGCTTCTCCATCTCGGCCACTCGCCCTGACCCTGTTCGTGCCCATGTGTGCGTGCGTGCGTGTGCACGCATGTGTGTGTGTGTGTGTGTGTGCGTGTGCGTGAGTGTATGTGGAGTGTGTTTGACAGAGACCGAAAAAGAGAGAGCTCCGTACGCCCCGCGCCGCTCACCACGTGTCGCGCTGGGCCGGAGCCGGCGGAGCCCCCATCTGACGTGCAGTGGCCGCGGGGAGGGAGAGAGAGAGAGAGAGAGAGAGGGAGAGAGAGAGAGGGAGAGAGGGGCCCAACGCCCCACCATATGCACGACATTAATCCCGCGCTCTCCAAGAGGAGGACGACGGGCTTAGGCCTCAGAACTACGAAAACGTGTCATGCGTGTGTGTAAAGGGGGGGGGGGGGTAATCTGATAGTGCGGTAGTAGTGTGATACTCACTACTCACCCACCCCGAGCAGACCAAAAGAACCACCACCACCACCACGACATTTGCACTGCCCAACACCGCCTCCACAAGTCGGGGCCACCCTTCCTCACCGGGCGCTTGCACTTGCTGTTGTGTTGCAGACATGAGCGCCGCGCAGGGCGCACTCCGCGGCCTCGCCAGGCGCTGCATCCAGTTTATCAAAAGGTCTGCCCAGCACCCCATATAGTAGTTAGCATCCCGTAGCCAGCACCCCGGCGCACCCAACAACTGCAATTCATATTGAGCGCCCCGGACCTTTCCCCCGGTGGTATGCCCTCGCCGTCGACCCCGCGACCCGCTAACACACTCAATGCGCGCGACCAGGAGCGGTGATCTCGATGTCGTATGGATTATTCGCTCTCCCGTGCGGCTCCGGTCGCCGTCGGAATCGCT